TTGAAAAAAAATTAGTCGAGTGACTAAAATAGAGTGACTCGAGTAATCAAGTGTCTAAATACTGAGTTTACCCTTTCATTTTAGACGAGTATAGAAGAAGAAAAAGCTTGGGTTTATTTGGAACAATTGATCTCTTATTTGTGTTGGAATAAATCAGCCTTGTGAATATTGTAGTTTACCAAAACCCAATAAAAGAAAGAAAACACAGGGTTGTCACACCTTACCTTATAAAGCCCAAAGCAAAACTATTATATAATTCTTAGTTTTGAATTTGGGTCAAACGGAAAACTTTGATTAAATTTCTAACATACTTTTGACTCACACTTGGTGGCACACTCAAGCTTGAGGATAAAGACTTCCCAAGCTATCTCTCTTCTCTCTCAAATAGGCTCTCTAACTATCTAGTTTCTCACTCTAAGAAGTAAACTCTCCTAGTATTTTTAAATTTCTTTGGATGGTTAGGAATGAAGTCTCTTACCCCTATTTATACTACTCCACCTCCATAATGAATGGTGGAGATTACTTACATCCAAGGGTGGAGATTAATTATCAAGAATGCTTCACACACTCTAAGAAGCTCTACACTCTTCCACTCCCTTCCATATTATTCCATACTTTTTCATAAGGTTCCACACATCTCCAGAATATTCCAGAGGATTCCTCACTCTTCCACAAACTTCTACAGAGTTTTACACTTCTCTAGAGTTATCTGGAATGTTCTATAAAATTCCACACTTCTCCAGAAAGCTCTAGAATTTTCTAGAACCTCTCCAATTAAGGAGAGATCCAACAAATTTCCCCTCTTGACTTAATTGGGAGGTAGTAGCAAGCCGACACCTTGACAACAATCTCCGAACTTTTTTATTGGTATTACCTTGGTCATCATGTTTGACCAGTTCTTGTCTGAATCCTTTGACGACCAACCTAGCTTTATAGTGAGGCTTTGAGCTGCTATCTTCGGTCTTGATCTGATACACCCACTTATTTTTCAAGGCCCTTCTCCCTTTTGGTAGCTCCACAAGTTCATAAGTATGATTCTCATGCTAGGATTGCATCTCTTCTTGCATGTCTCTTCTTCATTCTTCTTTATGACTATCACTTATTGCTTCTTTATAGCTTTGAGGCTCCCCCTTATCAGTGAGCATAACATACTCCTCTTTATTATACCAAGTGGATGGTCTTCTATATCTCGAGAATCGTCTCGGCTCTAGTGCTGTTGGAGAGCTAGATTGAGGCTCTTCTTGAGTTGGTTCATCATAAGTCTCTTGGTTGTTTTGCTCTAATATTGTTTCATGATCTTCAACATCATTGTTTTCTTGTGTATTATTATCTTCAAGTCAAACTGGAGTAGGTTCGGTGTTCTTGTTGCTTCTCAATCTTGGCCTCTCTGATTTTTTGATATCTTTGATTATTTGGTCTTCGAAGAAAACGTCTCTTCTCTAAACAACCTTCTTATTGATTGGATCCCAAAGTCGATAACCGAATTCATCCTTAGGTGAACGAAGGTAGATGCATTCTTTCATTTTTGCATCAATATTGGCTCTCTCATCTTTGGGTATGTGAACAAATGCCCTGCACCAGAATACCTTGAGATAATTGTATGAAGCCCTTTTGCCCGTCCAAACTTCTTCTGGGATACCCTTGTTTAAGGGAACTAATGGTGTACGGTTGATAATGTCAACCACTGCCATTGTAGCTTCTCCCCAAAATGATTTGGGTAACTTAGCATGAGAGAGCACACATCAAACTCTTTCTTCAATAGTTCTATTCATTATCTCAGCTAGTCCATTCAATTGTGGTATCTTAGGTGGAGTCCTCTCTAGTCTAATGCCATTTTGCTTGCAATATGCTTCAAAAGAACCTTTATACTCACCTCCATTGTCATATCTTAGACACTTGATCTTCCGTCCGATCTCACGCTCCACTAGGGCATAAAATTCTTTGAATACATCAAGCACTTGATCCTTTGATTTTAACAGGTGCACCCAAACCTTCCTTGAATGGTCATCAATGAAGGTGACAAATTATAATGCACCACAAATTTGATCTCTCAGACATCGAACACACGTCGGTGTGTACGAGGTCTAGGATGTTTTTTCTCCTTGTGGGCGGAGAAGATCTTTGGAAAGCAACTTTGTGCTGTTTTCCAGCTAAACAGTGAGCACAAGGATCAAGTGGTTTACCTTTCACGTCAAGTAGGAGTTGTTTCCGAGCGAACATGTGAAGACCCTTCTCACTGATGTGCCCAAGTCGTTTATGTCATATCTCCACATCTTCAGTGGTGATGTTTACCTCTCCTTTGCATAACTTAGCTTGCATCACGTACAATGACCATTTTTTCTTTCCTCTAGCCATTATTAGGCTTCCTTTGGTGAGCTTCCACTTTCCTTCACCAAAGTAATTTTTCAGACCAGAATCATCTAGCTTCCCAGCAGAGATAAGATTGAGTCGCATGGCCAAAACATGCCTCACATCTTTTAAGATAATCTTGCATCCAATGTTTGTCATCAGGATGATGTCTCCTATCCCCACGATCTTGCTCCTGTCTTGATTTCCTATTCGTACCTTACCAAAGTCACTACTTCGGTAGGAAGAGAAGAACCTTCCATGTGGAGTAACATGGAAGGAATCACCATAATCGACAATCCAGGAGCTATCATCATAAGCAATGTATATGATATTACCTTCATCAACGAGATATAACAGATCTTCTTTTGATACTACGGTAGTAGTACTTTTCTCTTCTTGTTGCTTCGTTGGGTTGATTTGGTATGGCTTAATATTACTACCTTTTGGTCTATCTTGAAGGATCGATATTCCATTTTCTTGTGGCCCATCTTTCCACAGTAGTGGCATGCAATCTTCGAGCGTGACTTGGATCTACCTCGGGATTGATGCAGATCTCAGCTTTTTCTACGTCCACGAGTTTCATTCATACCCCGATTCTCAATAATATTAGCTTCGGGATGAATAGACTCACATCGTTCCATTCTCCTTGCTTCTTCACCGAGGAGGCTATCACTAATGGTATCCATGGTGAGCTTTCTTTCCAGAGCTGAATTACTAAGTGTAACAACAAGTGTATCCCAACTTTCTGGTAAGAAACTAAGGAGTAGAAGAGTTTGCAACTCATCATCAATTTTCATCTCGATTTTGTTAATTGATTTATGATCCCCTTGAAATTATTTAAGTGCTCAATCATACTTTCACCATATTTATACTCTAATTTCACCAACCGTCGAACTAAATTGGCTTTGGTACGAGGTTTTTTCTTTTGAATCATGGACTCAAGCTTTGTCCATAATTCATAAGCATTTGTATAAGTAAAAACATGCTCAAAGAGGGGTTTATCAATGTACTTACGGATCATAGCAATGACCTTTCGATTTAGTAGCTTCCATTGAGCATCACTCTTGCCTTCTACCTTGTATTTGTAGATGACGGGCTCATGCAAATCCTTACAGTACAGGTGGTCCTCCATCATCGGCTTCCAATATGAGTAGTTATTGGCTGTGAGCTTGAACATGTCTCCATCATGAGTGACGTTATCATCTATCTTGAACTGCACGAGCTAATTACGGCTACGGATGAACCTGACTCTGATACCACTGCTGGAAATCACAGTCTTTCCCGCTTTGTGAAGTTAAGATAGTCACTTAGAGATTAAAGATAGTAAATAGAGCACAAGAGTATAATTCTCAAATTTGGAGATTCTTCCACTATACAAAAGAATAATAGGATTAAAAGGATGTATTCACAAAATTTGACTCACACTTGGTGGCTCACTCAAGCTTGAGGATAAAGACTTCCCAAGCTATCTTTCTTCTCTCTCAAATCTAAGAAGTGGACTCTCTTAGTATTTTTGGATTTCTTGAGATGGTTAGGAATGAAGTCTCTCACCCCTATTTATACTACTCCACCTCCACAATGAATGGTGGAGATTACTTACATCCAAGGGTGGAGATTAATTATCTAGAATGCTCCACACACTCTAAGAAGCTCTACACTCTTCTAATCCCTTCCATATTCTTCCATACTCTTCCATAAGGTTCCACACATCTCTAGAATATTCCAGAGGATTCCACACTCTTCCATAAACTTCTAGAGAGTTCTACACTTCTCTAGAGTTCTCTGGAATGTTCTTGAACCTCTCCAATTAAGGAGAGATCCAACATAGACAAGTTTGTTTTCTAATATTAAAATATTAAAGAAACAATTCGAGATTGCTATTTATAAGTAAATTTAAGTAAAAAGGGTAAACTACACGTTTAAGTATCCCAACTATCACTTTTATTCTGTTTCATTTTTTTGTTTCAAAATCATATATAACCTTATGATTTGATTTCATTTTGGTTACTCACCATTAAAAAATTAACGGTGATGCTGGCGTGTCACCATAATATAACGCTACATCCTCATTGATTTTTTTTAAAAAATTGCCTCGTCATTAGCTCTGTTAATTTTTTAACGGCTGGTGATCAAAATGACACTAAAACGTAACATTATATATAATTTTTGAAAAAAGTGATAGTTGAGTGATTAAAATGGAACAAAAGTGATAGTTGGAATACTAAGCATGTAGTTTACCCATAAAGAAAACTGTTGAAATATAATATGTTGGTAAAATATTGGATTCTTAGTTTTAATAACAATAAATAAAACCTTGACAATCTCATGAAATTAGACCAAAAGTAGAAAGAATTACAAAAAGGGGATTAAAATTAAAAGCAATTGGAAATGGGCTTCCATTGTAGAATTATGAGGCGAAAGTGAAACTCAGCCAATGAGAGAAGAAGTTAATTAATAGAGCTTTGATAAAAGCAGGTGAAGAGAGAAATGGCTTTGCCATGTGTATGAAAATACTAAGGTAATCACTCATTAATTTTCTTCTTTAATTAAAATAATAAATTATTACCTATTAATTTATCAAATCAAAATGTTTAGATTTTGGATTTGCTAATGTCATATGCAATGCATTGATGCTCCTCTTCCTCTTATATTAATAGCAAACTTCTTTTCAGCAAAATCAACAACTAAAAGTCGAGACATAAGCAATGACTGTCGACGGAGGTGGTGGTGGTGGTGGAAAGTCCGATGAGTTCCAGCCATTCCCCGTCAAAGACCAGCTCCCCGGTGTTGATTTCTGCCTCTCCAGTACTCCTTCATGGCGTATGCCTACCTTTACCTTTTTCTTCTTCGTTTCTGTCTATTAAGTTTCTATTTCCACTCTACTTTCTACATTCATTCTCTCTTTTCCTCAAACATCAAACAATCATTCTTTTTTCCCCTTTTTTATTTGCTCTGTTTTTGTTTTCTTTCACTTTTATTCGATGTTCTATGTGAAATTATAATTTGTGTCACGAGTGGATCTTCGCCCTTGATTTTGTTCCTTTGTAGTCTTTCTTTCATGTCTTTCCTGCTTGTTTTCCACACTCTTCTAGTCTTTATAGCTTTTCCCTTACTAGTTAATACTACGATTATTTTCTTCTTCTTCCCGTTTATATAGATTGTTTCATATACAAAAGGAAAACAAATGCCGGATGAAGCTCTCAAAGTGCCATAAAAAACTTGCTGGTTTGTTTGGTTGGAGAGAAAGGAGAAGAAAAACATGTTCAGGAAAATCTTTTAGTTGAGAATCACGAGAAATACGTGAAAAAGACTAAGAAAAAAAATGATGGAATGATAAATGTTTCATTCCTTCTTGTTAGTTTCCCTAGTGAGATTCTCGTTTTCTTGTGTTTAAAGTAACATAGAATATTTGCTTCAAGACTCTTGATCTCTCTCACGTTATGCTCTGTTACTTTGAACCTAAAAGAGATAGGGAATTCTAACATGTTCGACTTGATCTTTCTCCCTCTTTATTGAAAAATCGCTAACTGTTTCTGGTTAAATTGCAGCTGAAGCAGTACTTCTAGGATTTCAGCATTACTTGGTAATGCTTGGCACCACTGTCATCGTATCATCTATACTTGTCCCTTTAATGGGCGGTGGAAACGTAAGAACGCAGGTTTTCATTGAAAGCAAAATTTCCTTTATCTTTTTTAAAATTAGTTCTGTCTTCTCTTTGAACTAAACGTTTTGTTTGTTTGATGCGAAATAGGTGGAGAAAGATGATGTTATTAGTACAATTCTCTTCGTAGCGGGTATAAACACGCTATTTTGCAAACGCTGTTTGGAACCCGGCTGCCAGTGGTGATTGGGGCTTCTTATGCTTACATCATCCCCTCCATTTCCATTGCCTTATCCAGACGATATAGTGTCATCATCGATCCCCGCCAGGTTAATTTCTTTTGATTGCAATTTCGGACCTTCTCTTTTTTTACTGTCAATGACATACGGTTAATGATTCTAATGCCTTGCTAGTTTTCATTCTTATGAAAATTGTTTGATCTTTTAGAGGTTTAAAGCATCCATGAGAGACGTGCAAGTCTTATTGTGGCATCATCCTTCACTATGGCTATTGTTTTCTTTGGTTTCTTGAGAATTATTGGGAGGTAGCATGTTCAAAACATGCATAATTGAATTCTATGATTTGTTTTGCAGTTCCAGTGAATTTTTTGATATGTTGCGATGCAGGTTTATCAGCCCTCTTGCAGCTATTCCTCTGGTGATTCTAACAGGACTTGGGCTCTATGCGCAAGGTTTCCCACAAGAGCACCAAACTCTTCATTTCTCTTTAGAGATAGTTGTGTTCAAGCAGCTACAGTTCTGGTCATCTCAAATCTTGAACCCCAACTAATTGTTTTAAGACAACTAGGCCTATTGGATGTTACATTTACTAACAACTGTGCTACTTCTTACCATGAACCAGATATTAAGACATGTTTTCAGCTTCATTAATGATTGAGAGACATCAGAATTTCTCTGTGAAGTTTGCTATTGGTTCAAACATAAAACACTCGTGTTTATATAGCCTTTATCTTTTGCAAGTATTATTTGTCATAAGCTGTAATCTGAACTACTGCTAAATCTAAAGGACATTATCAGTTTTAATCGTTTAGTGACTCCATTCCTCTCGATAAGTATACTTTGTGGTTTTATTATTCTTGTAATTTCACTAGCAATCCATGAGTGTTTGTGATGGATATATGGTTTGCTCCATTGATATGTAAATATTGTATTTATTCTTTCATTCTGTAATTTCTCTTTTGTTCTCCTTGTTGCATGTAGTTGGCGAGATGCATCGAAGTTAGACTCCCAGCATTGGTACCAGCTGTTTTCTTATCTCAGGTGACCTGCATTCTTAACCCTTTTGTTACTAAGAACATTCTTTGCTTTGCCATTATCATGGACATGTAACATGAACTTTCCATCTACAATTAAGAGTAAGGCTTTGAATTTTAAAGCCGAGTTGTATTATGCATGTATCATTTACATTCTTTGGGTAGATAACAGATGTAAAAATTGCATAGTTAGATTTCTTACTAATTGCAATCCTTCTTTGGTTTTATTGACAAACAAAAATAGGGAAAAAACCATAAAATGATGACATTAAGAAAGCGTCAAATATCAGTGCGGCAACTATTCTGTGATGGGCTTGATTTCACCTTTGCATTTGTCTTGTATCATTACCTAAATCTTTATTTCTCTTCCCTCAGAGTTGCAAACAGTAATGACTTTAATTTACCAAGTTCCCAACTGATAAGGTTTATGTTATTCATCCACATAGGATGAATTCCGTGAAATGCACACTTAGTGCCTATTTGGTAATCACCACATACATATTAAACAATCATACATGTATGATTAGTATAACATATAGTTACACAATTAAATGCACTCACTTGGATTGTCTCGCTATTATCTCCAAAATGTAAAGTTAATTACTCTGGTACTTTTCCTTTGCCTTTAGTTTTGCTTAACTCAGGAGCTTGATTTCAATCTACTCAAGCATCCAATAAAGACACGTACAATATCAATTATTAGTATATTTCCTAACAATTATACTTAAACGTTACTCAAGAGTACATATTATTAACTTTCTATGACAATATCATCCTATTTTTAACATTGTTGGCTCAATAGTATCGAACCCCCCACCATGGTATCGCTACTACTATATTATGGTATCGATACTACTATACTATGGTATCAATACTCTATTATGGTACCGATATCATTTAGCATTCTGTGCTCAATGGTATCGATACCATCTTCATGGTATCGATACTCCCTTCTTGGTATCGATACTACTTAACAGATTATATTGATTTTAAGCCTATATTATCGGTATTGTTCTATCAGTACCGATACCCATGCCCAAAATTTCCAGTTTTTAACCCGATTATCACCCAAATGGGGTCAAATTTCATTATGAATACACCATATAATACTATTAGACTCTTTTTTACATATTCATACTAACTTTCTTTCATTTAGTTTCTTAAAACATCTAGAATCTTCCAAGAACATTCAATTCTAAGAATCATACTACATTTCTAATATGTTCTTAATCCTATCCAATGCTTTCAATCTCTAATTTACCTCTTTGACAAGTCAAATCTACTAATAAACATCCATAAACACTCATATATTAACATATCATTTCAAAACACTTTTTCTTAAATCTCTAATATTTCATCGATATCTTTGTTTTAATCCTATTTAACCCTCCCTTTAGCTTACATATCACTTAAGGTTGTAAAAACAACCCATAATCGAAAGGAAAAATTGATTAATTGAAGTTTACCTTTGGCTATGGAGGGTGGTCCTTGCACGGGAAGAAGAAGAAGAAGAGATAACTCTCTTTGTTTCTATTTTCCCTTTTTCTTCCTAAAATCCCTAATCAGGATAAATTTTAAATTCCTTTTTCCTTAAAAGACTGAAATACCCTCTATATTCATATATTGCTACAATTTAATCCAAAACACTATTTCAAATCATTTTCTTATCTTTTACCATTTATTCAAACAAGTCTTCAAATTTCAAATCTTTTTCAATATAGTCCCTGACTGGATATTTGGGGTATTACAATTCTCCCCCTAAAAAATTCATCCTTGAATTTAAAAACTTTATGCGTTTACCACAATACTTCAACTAGATGAGTCATTTTGGTTACACGATTTTTGAATTTCTCTAATCTTGATCTATATTGGTTCTTTTTCATAATTCAATTCTAATCAAATCTCTATTTTCCCCAAAGTAAGAACATGCAATGAATTTGATTGGTCATTAATAAGCAATGACACATGAAAACATTATAGGTTTTGTCCATTTCAGAAGACAAAAGCTAACTGATAAAATCTATTAAGGTTCAATAATTCTCAAACTTAGTCACAACCGCAATACTTACTTCCAAAGCGATACTTTCATAAAACTTTACCACTTTCTTGTTACTCAATCACTTTTCTCTTTAGATCAGCATAAGACTTTTGTAATTAGCACAACTATAGTATCGCTCACTATACAAATTATAATGTCAAATATTTTATGACATTCGACTACGGCCAACTCTAAAACATGCGTAGATAATTCCTCTTGTGAGTATTTAACTTTATTGAGGCATATATCACCACCTTACCTTTGTGCATAAGCACACTTCCTAAACCGTTGATAGATGCATTAGTAAAAACCACATAATATTTACCTAACTCAAGTTGTATAAACACTAGTGTCTCTATTACAATCATCTTTAGTATTTCAAAACTCTTTTGACCCTTTCTCATTCTAAAAAAAGACATATATTTCCTTAAAACTTGGTTAGCATCAAAGCTAACGTCGAATTTTTTTCACTAACCTTCAACAGTAAACAGCAAACCCTAAAGAAATCGAAACTTCAGGAACATTCTTTAGAAGTTTCCAATTTACTACAACATGAGTTTTTCTTAAGATCCACTCTTATACCTTATACCAAAACAACATGGCCACAAGAAACCATCTCTTCTAACCAAAGTTTCACATTTTAATATTTTGGCAAACAATTTCTTCTCTCGAAGAGTTTTTATTTAACTGTCAAAATCTATGTATAACCACATAGATTTATCTTTCTTTTCGCTAATAACACACATACTTCCCAAGATGAAATACTCGAGTTGATAAAACTTTGATCAATCAACTCTTATAATTGAGCCTCTAATTCTCTTGACTCACTTAAGTCATTTAATACTAAATCATATATACATGTTCAATACATCAATAACCATTTACCTTAAATTCCACCTTTCAATATGGAGGTAACTCAATCAATTTACCTGAAAACACATCTATAAATTCCCAATTTTTGTGAAATTATCAAACAATTTCTACATTAATTACTTGAGTATCTATCACATTAACAATAAAAGCTATATATATATATATATATCTCTTTCTAAAATCATTTTCTTCACAATCATTATCGATATCACCCTGAGTGATGATTTTACTTTCTCACTAACACTATAATTTCCATACCCTCTGCATATTTCTGAATCAATCATCTTTGTTGACAAACAACTTATTTTCAATATGATTTTAAATCGTCAAATGACAATTTCATTAGATCCACCAGGAACATAGGCCCGAAAATCTTTATTAAATGTTTACTACATGTCCAACTCACACTTGCACCATAACCCACTAGGGTTTACCGCTATCATCTCACTCGAGATTAAGTTAAATAGAATAATTTTATTTTAAAATCTTTCATTTCCTTCTTGAGGAAATCCATGTAACTTTCCAAATCCATTTAAAATATTCTCGAGCACATGAAACATTTTTTCTCTCAACTATAAAAGTCTAATTATCCACATCATTAAATAAGAAGACTTGACAACTTTGTAGCAATAACCTCATAGAAGTTAATGCTAAAATTAAATTAGTAACCAAATTTACTCTTATAAATAGTTCAACTTTTTAATAGATTCCTCCAATGAAGAAACATCGTTAAACGCTAGGGCATTCCTTTAACAGAATGGAGGAAAATCCCAATCAACTTCTACCCTTTTATGGCATGATACTAAAATCATGTCAGATTCTCTTGGGTCGATTTTGATCTCAAACTTCTTTTCAATATCATTTAATTTCTTACCTTTTTCCTTAGTTTCCGACATCTATTAGGACATACATAAGAATAACAATAAAACTAATCAGGAGTGACATCAATCACCCTCTAATTGACATTATATCAGTAACTTTGACAATCTTATTGGCATGTAATCCTTTTTACATTAACATACATTCGATTTTGGCCGAGAATTGGCTAAACCTATAGCTCTGATACTAATAAATATAACAACCATCTCCCATATACATTTACGTATACGAGATATGGATGTCACCTTACTTTTCAAATAGTTTTGTCTTTTGAAAACTTTAAAAGTTTGTTTCAAAATTTAAATTAAAACATTTTAGCACAATGATAAAACAATCATCAAAATATATTACCAAAATGTCCTCTTTATATACATTACAGAGCTTTTTTCTTTAAATTTGATTACATGCCAACAATTGTTCAAAAATAAACATGATTGTCCTACCGTTACTGATGAGAGAGTCAAGCTTAACAGATGATATATATTGCTACTACTGCACTCCTTATTTAATTTGTCTCCACTTTTACCTACGCATGGAAACAACACACGTTAAGTATTTACTTAGTGAGACATAATATTGTAAAGTAACGTTTGTGTATACATAGGTATGACATATTTATTTAGTTCGTACTAAATCGTATATTCTTTAACGATCCTATAATTCTCGTTATTTAAATTGTATTTCATTCACAATTATCTTAATTATTTGTAGTATGCCTATCATACTTATCTTCTTTTATATTTTTCTTTTACATTTATCTCTTTATTCATTATTCTTTGTTTTCATTGATGGCATCCATTTATATTTATAATGCATCATTATGCCTTTTCATTTATAGCATCTTTCTATACCGATAATGCACCCATATGCATTTAAATTATGGCATCCTTTCATGCCCTTTTATACGTTATTATACATTTCATTTATGGCATCCTTTCATGCCCTTCTATTCACTATTATACATTGTCACATATCTAGTCTTTATTCAAAGTCATTTACCCTTTCATCTAACTGGCATAATTGACACCTTTCTGTCAAATGCACAGCTCAAAGGCACTTAGCATTTCATCTAACTAGCATAATTGACATCTTTCTATCAAATGCACACCTAGGCCAATAATATTTTATTTTTGAAATATTTTTACTCTAATAATTATCACTTAACACTTTCAATTCATTATAAATTCTATAGTTTGCACACGTAGTGCCAATACGGTAATTCACAAACGTATTATAATTTACGTGGGTTGCACACCCACTACAAATACTAAAAATTAACCCTTTTTAATTTATTATAAACTTTATACATTTGCAACCTTAGTGCTAACATGGTAATTTACCAACTTTCTATTCATGTTCATTTATTAAGATACACAC